CTGTTTGTGTTGTATGTGCTGTGTGTGTGTATCAGTGTGTGTATGTGTGGGTGTGTGTTGAAGCCATCAGTGTGTGTGTGTGTGCATGCGCGTGTATCAGTGTGTGTGTGTGTTATGCGCTAGGTGTGTCTTAGAGAGAGAAGAGATAGCTGGGTTTGGTGTGTGTGTGTGTGCATGGTGTCTTGTGTCTGCTAGAGAGAGAAGATATGTGTGTGGCTGGGTCTCCATGTGAGAGAGAGAGAGAGAGAATGCTGAGAGAGATGAGTGGTGTCTAAATGAGGGTAATTACGTCTCTCAGAATTTTCTAGGACTAAACGGTTTACTAGAATAAAAATGGGACCAATTGGTTCATAAGTTTACATTTTGGGATTTATTGGTAAATCTCCCCATAATATTTTGTATAATTTTAATTAAAATTTTAATAAATTTAAATTTAATTTATTCAACTTTCAAGCATATCTTAAACAAACATCTAAGCATGAGTAGTTTGGTTATTTTAATCAAAAATAAGCTTATTGAGCAATGAGCATTATCGAGAGCTAAGTTCGAATAATTTAGTTTTCATAGTATATAAACTTAGTAGTTTATTTAACGCTCCATTTGTTTAGGTAGAAAATATTTTTCATTTTTTTTTTATATTTGATTTGATACAATGAAAAACGAAAGTCAATGGAAAACAAGACTATTTTGGCAGAAAATATTTTCTACTTTTAAAAGGCAGAAAACGTTTTTCAGATTAAAATTTTACCAATGTTAACACACCACCACCACAACTCTCATCTCCACCACCACATCACCATCGCCACAGCGACTGCCACCATTACCATCACCATCAACACCACTGTCACCCCATCACCATGCCACCACCTCCACCTTCTTTCCACCACCACCAACCAAACATAGAAAAATATTTTTTTGGAAAAAAAAAAATCATAGAAAATGCTCTTCACCCAAAGAAAAGGAGCATAAGTTTAATTTAAAAACTTAATAGATTTTAAAATATCTTCAAACTTGTTTATATTACGAGATGATCTCAAATAAATTTTTAACTAGATGAATATATGTCAAACTTAAATAGTTTGATTTGTTTTGCAATATAACGTGTGATTTGGTTCAATGATTCATCTAATTAGATAAGGGTTAGACGCTTATGGTCGGGTCATACAACATAATTTATTTTGGTTTGTAATTGTTTATTGCAAGTAGGGAAGTACAAGAATTTGGTTTACCTGAACTACTCGCTCAAATTGTTTGACCCAAACTACATGCGGGTGGTTGAGACATATGTTCGGTCAACCACAAGTTAAAGATTTTATTTTTTGTTATCTCGATATTAATTGTAACATTTTTAGTCTTAAATTAACTTTGATCATGCATTAAAATTTATTTAATTATGATTTTGGTAAAATTTTGAAATTAATTATAACGTATGGTCTTTTCATATTACATAAAAAGTATAAAATGTAGTTGTAGACATTCCATTTTGGTTGACCCTAAGATTTAGGCACTTGGATGCTTCCCGATGATGAAACCAATACATTTCCAATGGTTTGATGTACTTGGACCACTGTTGAACCTGTTGGATCATTTTCTATTCCTTGAGGCCCATTCATTTGAACGAAATTTGTATTTTCAAAACATCTTTCCAAAAAGGAAACGGGGTGTGTCAAATCAATTTTGAATTGTCAATTTTTTGAGAAAAAAATTATTTTTATAACCAAAAAACAAAATCATTTGAAAGTCAAAATTGTTGACTAAAGCATGATGGGCACATCTTCAATCAAGCTGCAAATCCACAAATGATGGGATTATGGCCATACACAAATTCAATTTTTAGAAGATCTTGTTATCAATTTTGATGTATTGCGTTGTGCCATTATGTATATACACATTAGGGTTTGGACCTAATGTGTATATACTTGCCCTCCAAGCCTCCTAATGTGTATATACCCCTTCCCTCCTCATTTTTTAGGATAACCAAGAAATTCTGAGTGAAATCTCTTTCTCTTTCTCTCTCTCAATCACACCTATCTCTATAGTTTTGAAAATCACACCACTTCTAATAAGCAAAATAGTGTCTCTTGCACACCATAAGTCAAACAAATCAAAATAAACAACAATTAAAGCTTGTGGGAAGCATCCAAGTCTTCAATTTCTCGCTTTTATTCACTTTTTCACCAATTTGATCACCAAACTGAGGTATTCTTCTATTTAGCTATTACTTTTAAGATATTTATCATGTTCTATGTGTTTGATAATGGTTAGGATTATATACATGCATGCTATATCATATAAAAAATATTTTGTTGATTTTATTGATTACTTGTATTATATCATTAGTTTAGGTTGCATTTCATATATTCATGAATAAAGTCCATTTAGTTGTTTTTCATTCATGCTCGTTGTTGTATTTTATTACTCTTATTTGAATTATGTGTTTAATCCATGGGTTTAATACACATGTCATGTTTATATATCTACTAGACACTCTTTAAGGTCATGTTTAGATATCTACTAGACACTCTTTAAGTTCATGTTTTGTATTTTGGGCATTAGAGTCTATGTTTTAGGTTATGTACAATGTATAGTAATGTGTTTTTCATGACATGGTGCTAAGGATATTGATGATTCATCTTCCTTCCTTTTGCATGTTACATGCGTTTGTATTGTTTTTAATTCCAAATAGCATGCTTAAATGTCTTGTATGCAATATCTATGTTTTATTTTGGGTATTTTTGTATTATTGCCTATGTTGGAAATATTCTTATGCTCCTTTGGAAAGTATTTGTTTTGGAAACCATTCACTTTGGAAAGTTAGCTAAAATCGTTTTTGAAAAGAAAATTATGAGAAAAGTTTTCAAAATATGTGATATTGCCTTTTTCCTCTAATTCACATAGATAGTAGGTTAGTTTAAGGGATTTAGGTAAAATAAATGAATTTGTGAAATCAAATATAGGAATAAATTTTATAAAAAGAAATTACTAGAGGTTAATCAATTGGTTGGACGAGAGGGATGCTCAAATTAATGACCTTCCTCCTGTACACCTAAACTCCCGAACCAAGTTCTTTGGTTGTGATGAATCAGTGCCTTAATTGATTAGAGTTAAAACGATTTCATAGTTCCCCATGAAAATTAAGTGGCGACTCTTTTGTATAATTTTATCTATTTTGACAATTTATGTGTAGTTGCCATTATATATCTTGATGATTCATGAGTAGTGTAGGAGAGGGTTCAAGAAAGGAGTTGGAAAATTCGAAGATCTTCAAAGATCCTTGAAGAACAACTTCAAATTCTCTAGAAGAAATGTGAGAGGCTTAGATTCTTCAATGGTCTCAACTCAAGAACACAAGAGTAAAGGAGATGATGGAGATAAGAGATTGGGTGAAGAAGAAGGCAAAATGGCTAGAGAGAGAATAATGGCAAGGCTCTCCCAGGGATCTCCCACTTTCACTCTCAAAAATTAGTTCTTTCCCAAGAGTCATCTCTCCAAAAATTCGTCCCTTGTAAAGCTATGGGTGGGTGCTATTTATAGGCACCTCATGATTAGGATGGAGCCCATGTGCAAGGCACATGGGGAATATTCTCTCTAACCACTTTGTCCGAGGAGGTGACTTCTCCGAGGATGAGGAAAACCCCGAAGAAGAGATCAACCTCTCGGCAAACCCTTCTTCTTAGCCAAACCTAACCAATGATCTCCAATCATCCCAAAGGGTCAGGGGTAGTCCCAGAGGACGTCCTGCCGCATAAGGGTCAGGGGTAGTTCAAGAGAACGCCCTGCCGCAAATATTGCCGAGTCTCAGGGACCCCCTAGATCGTGCCACCTCGACCTGGGTATAGGCTAGTTTAACCGAAGAGTGAATTTATCTCCACTCACCGTCCTCGGGATTGGGTCCTTTGTTCGGACTCCATTACGCCCATGGTTCTGGTACGTAGACCCCGGAAAGCTCCGAGCCCGCAAGTGTTATGGGACTCATTAATGGAACGACTTCTAGATTGCGTCTGAATCTGTTTGAAGCCAAGTGTTTCGGACCTCTAGGTTCGTGGATCCGAACCCTTTCGAGTCCGAGTGCCTCGAATCCCTAGGCTTGCTTAATACCCTTTCGAGTCCGGGCCCGAGTAAGTCTCTAGGTTCATGGATCCGAACCCTTTCGAGTCCGAGTGCCTTGGATCTCTAGGCTTGCTTAATACCCTTTCGAGTCCGGGCCCGAGTAAGTCTCTAGGTTCGCGGATCCGAACCCTTTTGAGGCTTAGAGCCATTTAGCCCATTTGATGGTGATAAATTCGGGCCCACCAATCTTAGACTATTGGGCCTAATTAATTTAATGGGCTCAAATTAGCTTCTCTTACATTTGCCCCTTGCGTGTATGAGAAATTGTAATTTTCTCGGACATGCATAATTTCACCTTGTCAGCCATGCTTCACATTATGTCTTCGGGAATGTTTGGCCTTTACAGAGTCCATGGATAAAGCTGAGGGCTCACCGTAATTTACAGATAAAATTGACAAGTAATATTAAAAAAAAATAATAATAATTTTTTTTTAAAGCTTTTTTTTTTTTTTTTTGGAAAAAAGAAAACCAGAACTTGAATTACTCTCCACCAACCAAACCTTGACATTTAATTCATATAGCACCAATAAAATTGCCAAAGAAAAAAAAAAAATTTTTTCCATTGAAAACAAACAGATCCTATATCATGACCCATTTGATTTCTCTCTCTACAAAAGTGGAAACCCACTTTTTCTTTCTTCAAATTGGAAAACCATTATCTACTTGGGGCCTTTTATATATATATATGTATATATGTATACATATGGAGAATATTTGAGAGGATATTCCAAGGATCACATTCTTTTTTTATTCTATTTAAAGAGAAGAATAGCAACCCTAATCAATACATTTCCCTTCTTTTTGCCTCCAGCCGCCAAGACCATCTAGCCTTTTCTCTCTCTCTCTCTCTCTCTCTCTCTCTCTCTATATCGAGAGACCCAACTTCATCCTCAAGAAAGCTTCGTTTCTGCACTGCCAGAGGCCACCGCTGTGTTCTTCTTCTTCAACAAACCAACACTGCTGCCATTTGCACAGACCTCCATTGCAACTTCCAGTCCCGTCGCCGCCGTCGTCATTGAAGACCCAGCTCTGACTGTTACAGACACCACAGACCCGTCACTGACTTGTCCTGGCGTCGCAACCCAGCCATCAACCTGCGCCAACTTCGACCAAGCTCCTGCTTCGTCTATTCATCGTCATTTTGCACACCATCGGCGGCTACACCCTCGGCTATCATCGGTGTCGTGACAACGTCGTCAAGCCAACACCAGCCTCTTCTGTAGTCCTACTGCCATTGCCTTCCTCAACTGACCAGCACCGACGCCGACGCCGACGCCGACGCCGACGCCGACGCCGACGCCGACGCCGACGCCGACGCCGACGCCGACGCCGACGCCGACGCCGACGCCGACGCCGACGCCGACGCCGACGCCGACGCCGACGCCGACGCCGACGCCGACGCCGACGCCGACGCCGACGCCGACGCCGACGCCGACGCCGACGCCGACGCCGACGCCGACGCCGACGCCGCTGCTTGCTCCAGTGCCAACCACACACGTCGCCCTTTCAACGCGTCGTGTGTGGTTTTCCAACATCGGCCTCGGATATCACCCCCCTTAACTGTGGCTTTCTCTTCCTCTTGTATATACATATATTTTGTGGTAGTTTTTTTTTTGGTAGTTTTGTATATACATATATCAGAATTTATGATTCCAATGACACACATTCTTTTTTTAACAGGTTAGAGACTGAAGCTGTGTGTACGTTGATTGCTATTGTAGGGCCAAACTCAATCTACTATTGAAGCCGTGTGTACATTGTTGGTTTCAATCTGCTGCTACTCCACTGCCAATCACTGTTGGCTTCTCTCTGCTGGTACTCCGTCATTGGCTTCAACTACTCCAATGCAGACCACGCACGTTGCCCACTCAACGTGACGTGTGTGGTTGCCGACTTCCTCTGCGACATCACTGCTGCCTCTGGCTTCGGATTGTCCAACATTGACCACACACGTTTGCCCACTCAACGCGACGTGTGTGGTCTTGCCTAGCACTGCATAGCTCGTCGTTGGCCTTGAGTGTGCTTGTTTCATATCTACGACCCGTGCTTGTGCGTCTCACACTAGCGGCCTTGCCACTGCCTCTAGCCATGGCTTGCTCCGGCTCCGGTTTGCACCATTTCTCGGTTTCCTTGTTCATTGTTGCATTGAATCTGCTCTTGCTTTCTCTGATCTGTGGGTAAAATTTTGTTCAAATCCACTTTCCTTTCTTGCTTTGATGGACCTTTGTGCTCACGAATTTAGATCTGCTGGGCCTTAATGCTAATGTCTGTGATTTTAAATTCCACTGATGCTAAAATTTGTAAAGTTTGAGATCACAAGTTTGTGGGTGAATACTTAAACCCACTGTTTTGAACTCTACATCTGATATACATATATATATTGTGAATCTTGATTTGTTAATTGCTGCTCATTGCTAAAGAAAATAAGACTTGAGTGAACCCCTATTAAATGCTTGGTCACTGAGAGGAGTAAAATGCCCAGATATTGAATTTTGCAATTTTGGCCTAAGATGGGTAGTACACTGTTGAACCTGCCCTGATACACTCTGAATTTGTGAACTCTGATGGTAATTTTTTGATTTTAGTCTTGAGGCTTGCAAACAGTCTTGAACTAGTGCTCTGTTGAGTCTTGATAGACTTGTTGCAATGAATCTTAATCCCATGCGTATTGAAGACCATAGAGTTGTTGCAATTTGTTATTGTTGATGTTTGAGGAGATGAATTTGTTGAATCTTGAACTTGTGGACACTTGAGGAAATAAAATGTTGATGCCAAAATTTTGTTTGAACATCGTTGCTTTACGTCGGCTTAAGAGGAACCGGCCCGGAGAGACAAAACCTTGATTGTAGTATTTTCATGAACTTGCTCGGAGTAATAAAATTGTTGTAGCTTAAATAGATCATTATTATTTGTTGATGTTGTCCCATTCTGATAACGCCTGAATCATGATATGAAATTGATATTGCTCATCTCAGTTGTTTGCTTTGCTATTTCAGGCAAATAAATTTTTGTACGAAATCCACGACCCCGAGGCCCTCAGAATCTTCACTAATGAGAGCAAGGGCTGTCCTTCGGAAGTCTGAACGAGAGCAAAACTGTCCCTTAGGAGTTCGAAAGTAGCATACACCCTATTTCGGCAAGAAAGATCCCTCTGGAAGGCAACCGAGTCTACTAAGTCTGCACCAATAGAAGTAAAGATTGTCTCTCAAAAGTCTGAACAGAAGCAAGGTTGTTCCTCAGAAGTTCGAGCAGAAACAAGGCTGTCCCTCAGAAGTCCGAGCAGAAACAAGGCTGTCCCTCAGAAGTTCGAGCAGAAACAAGGCTGTCCCTCGGAAGTCCAAGCATAAACAAGGCTGTCTCTCGGAAGTCCGAGTGGATGCGCACTTCTACTTTGGCAGCTAATGGAAGCAAAGGCTATCCCTCGGGAGTTCGAGTAAGAGTCCACTCTACTTTGAAAAGAAAGATCCTCAGAGCACGTATTGATGAAATCAAGGGCTGTTCTTCAGACCCGCACTAATGAGAGCAAGAGTTGTCCCTCGGATGGCTCTCCCTCAGAAGTCCGAGCAGAAACAAGTCTATCTCTCGGAAGTCCGAGTGGATGTGCACTTCTACTTCGGCAGCTAATGGAAGTAAAGGCTACCCCTCGATGCTCGCACTGACGGAAGCGAGATATGTTCTTCGAAAGTCTGAGGCGGAGAACACACTCTACTTTAGCAAGAAAGATCCTTGAGGCTCGCATTGATGGAAGCGAGGTCTGTTCTTCGAAAGTCTGAGTGGGAGCACACACTCTACTTCAACAAGAAAGATCCTCAAAGCTCACGCTGATGAAAACAAGATTTGTTCTTCGGAAGTCAGAGTGGGAGCACACACTCTACTTCAACAAGAGAGATCCTCGAAGCTCACCGAGTGGGAACACACACTCTGTTTCAACAAGAAAGACCCTCGAAGCTTGCACTGATAGAAGTAAGTGTTGTTCTTCAGAAGTTTGAATAGAAGCAAAGGCTGTCCCTCGGAAGTTCGAACCCACACTAATGAGAGTAAGAGATGTCCCTCGGAAGTCTGAATGAAAGCAAGAGATGTCTCTCGGAAGTCTAAATGTATGTATACTCTTTTCTTTGGTAATCAATGGAAGCAAAGGTTGTCCCTCGAAAGTCCGAGTAGGAGTATACTCTACTTCAACAAGAAAGATCCTTGAAGCTTGAACTGACAGAAGTAAGGGCTATTCTTCGGAAGTTGAAGTGGGAACACACTCTGCTTCAATAAGAAAGTTCCTCGAAGCTTGCATTGATGGAAGTAAGGGCTATTCTTCGGAAGTCCAAGTGGGAGCACACACTCTACTTCAGCAAGAAAGACCCTCAAAGCTCGCATTGATGGAAGCAAGGATTGTCCCTCGGAAGTCTAAATGAAAGCAAGAGATGTCTCTCTATCGGAGTATATCGGACTTCTGCTCCTCGAATCTTCTGGCTGATGTAATACATTGGGCGTTCTGCTCCATCTACATCTTGGATCAATAATGCCCCTATGGACTTGGGGGTTGAGGTTACGTACAACATTAGAGGGACCCCGAGCTGCGGGGCTATCATGGTCTGAGGCGAGGTCAAGGTCGCCTTGATTCCCTCGAAGGCCTTTTGGTCCTCTTGGTTCCACTCGAACTTGACATCTCCTTTTAACAATGAGCCGAAAGGGGCAGAGACCTCTGCAAGTGCTGGGATAAACCTCTGAATATAAGACACCTTCCCGAGGAATTTCTTTAACTCCTTCTGAGAATGCGGGGGAAGCATTGCTCTGATAGATTTGACCTTGTCTTCATCTGCCTTGATACCATGCCTATGTACAAGAAACCCGAGGAACTTCCCGGTCGTCACCCCGAAAGCACATTTGAGAGGATTCATCCTCATTTTGAATTTCTGGCACCTTTGAATACTTTCTCAAGGTCTCGGAGATGGTCTTCATCTTTCTTGGATTTCACCACTAGATCATCAACATAATTTTCCACCTTATGATGGATCATGTCATGAAAGATTGCAGTCATAGCCCTTTGGTAAGTTGCACCGACATTCTTGAGTCCGAAAGGCATGACTGTATAGAAGAAGTTTCCAAGAGGTGTTCTAAAAGCAGTCTTTTCTGCGTCATCTTCAGTCATTTTAATCAGATTGTATCCGCTGAATCCATCCATGAATGAGAACACCTGGTGTCCCGAGGTGGCATGCACGAGGGTGTCGATGTGAGGTAGATGGAATTCATCCTTCGGGCAAGATTTGTTCAAATCTCGAAAGTCTACACATACTCTGATTTGACGATTCTTCTTCTTTACTAGCACTATGTTTGCCAACCACATGGGGTACTGTATTGGCCGGATGAAACTAGCCTGTTGAAGTTTTTCAAGCTCCTCCTTAATCTTCTCTTCGAGATCTGGATGATATTTTCGAGCAACTTGCTTGATTGGCTTGGAGTTTGGGAACACATCAAGATAGTGGGAGACTAGGTCAGGATCTAGTCCGGGCATTTCCTTATATGACCAAGCAAACACATTTGAGTATCGGCTTATCAACTTTAACAACTGTTCCCGCTTTTCTGGGCTAAGGCTCGAACTTACGAATACCGGCCTCGGTGCATCTTGTCCATCACTCAGATCTATTTCAATAAGTTGTTCGGGCTGAGGCTTCGGCCCATCTTGCATACATTCTGGAGCCACTTCAGGCTTTATTACTATATCATTGTCAGGAGGCTCTTCTTTTGACTCGGAGTCGGTGACTGAAGAAATTGACTCCCCGCACCTTCATAAATAGTACACCATCTTGCCTCCTTCTCGAACTTTCATCACCTTCCGAGGAATAGGCGGACTTTCTGGTCTAGACATTGCCTGCTTACTTGACTCTGCCATCAGCTCCTTGTCATCTTTGATATCCTCCCAACGAGGAATTTTGACCCCTCGAGGCTTAGAGGTGGTGGGAGCTTCTTCGACAGCCAATTCGGTGAAGTAGATGACATCAGAATAATGAGCTTCATGGATCTCGAAAGGCCTTTCTGTAGCTTGAATTGTCACCGTCTTCTTTCCCCATTTAGCCTTAACACACTGATGATAACTTGATGGTACAGCTCCATATCTATGCATCCAGGTCCTTCCTAAAATGATGTGATAATTTGCCTCAGAATCGATAATATGGAACTTGGTGGCCGAGCGAATCTCTTCGACGGCTAAATCAACTGTCATGCATCCGATAGTTACTCTCATTTCTCCACCGAAGCCAGTGATGACTATCGGCTGCTTCACAATGCGTTCTTCAGAGATTCCGGCCTTTTCTAGAGTGGTGTGAGTCATAATGTTGATAGAGGCTCCACTATCTAGAAAGGCCCTTTTGAACTCAACCCCGTTAATAAAAGCAGTCACATAAAGCGGGCGATTGTGAGAAAAAGGATACTTCCGATCAACCTCGGAGAAAGTAATGGCACTAGATTGCTCTTTTGCCTTCCTCGGGATAGACCCCTCAATCGACATGCATTCCTCATGGTGTGCCTCGGCTATATTAATGAT